GGGGTAAGAAGAAAGAACGAGAGTACAGCAACATTCAGTATCCACTGGGGGACAAGGTCAAACCCAAACCACAGGCAGTCGTAGCGCCAAATCCACCTAGGTAAGGAGATGGCTACATGGGTTATCTCTGGGGTGCCGAAAGGTGGACATTGCTGTTAAACCAGCAACAGTATAAAAGGATGTCCTCGTAAAGACTTAAATGATAGTCCTTACTCTTGTAGAGCCAAACTGCATTTCTCCAGTGGTCCAAGTTCTATTAAATGGTCAGTCTTCGCATCACAAGCTCATACACTCTGAGCCTACACACATTTCTCCCAGTGGCAAGGGCTGTCCATCAGGCTGCTGGGACTCTTAGTTCCTGGTTGCCGTTTAATTAATGTTCATATTGTGCTTGCAATGTGACATTTCTCTCCTACACGCAGAGAATTGCGCTCAGGTTGCAAATGCGTGATCTACCACTCTGTCGATGGCAAACTACAACCTGACTCACAAAACTGGGAACTAGGCTGCATAGAAACTGTTAGCAGCCACCGTATTTATCCCATAAACACTGGCCTGACTATGGTATGAGATCAGTCTTCTTAGATCAGAATGCCTTGCTCTTCATTGGAGGTCTCACCCTGGTGTGGGTGGGTGTGTGTGGGGGTCTGCCTGCAACTGCGCACAGACTCGATAAGCAGTATTTTAGTTTCAAGGGTATGTATGACTTTTTTTTTTCTTTTAAATTGATGTATTTAAATTATGCATTTTTGATGCATTATCTATGAATTCGATGTAAAAAAAAAAAAAAATTTATAACATTTTTTTTACGTAGACAATCCCTTTAACACTGATATCGGAACTGAACTGGGGAATTTCCCAAGCCAGCGATGCAGCATAATTGACTGGTTTGGGATCCAACGTTTCTAAAGATAGCAAAGCTTTATAATTGAAAACGTGCATTATTCTTTTTCTGACTGTCTCCCTTATTTTGCATGCACCCCCTCCCCCCCCCCATGTTTCTGTGTTACATTTTATAATGCCAAATTGAATGACTTTTATAGTTTTCTTGATCTGGTTTATTGGAATGTTTTTTTGTTTTGTTTTTTCCCAGCTTGTGGCATTCCATCAGCTGAGTACAGTCGCCAACAAATATAATATGATCTACATCTTGCTTTAGCTATTGTGGCTTCTGTATTTTATTTCTTTATTTTTCTCAATTATTTTCAGGTTAAATGACGAGTCTGCCTGTGTCTATGAAAATCTCAACATTAGAAGCACACACGTGTCTGGTACAAGTAATTCTGGCAGATAAACCTTTGCAGATCTTGAGCTGCACACTTACCAAAAAAACGAAGTAAGTCATGCTTTCCTGCAAGCATTGTTGAGCCTGTATGTTTATGCTGACATCTAATAATCTGGGAACATAAATAAAACAAATTCCTGTTGGCTTACTAAAGGACAAATATCTATTAATAAATCATGTTTGGTTGTTGTTGCTCCTCGTTTATTTAATTAGAAGTGTCATATGCACTAAATTCAAAACCACTTTATGAATCTTATGTTTCACATTAAAGTGACCCCAGACCACCGTATTTCAATGAGGTCTGAGTGCCATGTCCCTCTTATTTTAACCCTGCAACTGAACACATTGCCGTGCTGCCAAAATGTTTACATTGCAGAGGAAACAAATTTCTGATTGGTGCAGAGTGGCGTTTTTACGCGAATGTGCACCAACATCCCAATGTTTTCAGGAAAGAATTAACGGAGATCGTCAATCTTGATCTCAGCCATGGAAGCAGGACAGCAAAGCGGAGACCGGCGCAGCGAGGGAGAGAAGGTAAGTAAAACGTCTGTTTATCTCCTTATTGGTGGGTTGGGCATATAAGCCTTTAAATAGGGCACTACAGCGATAGGATTGCATTTTTGTAGGATTACATAGTATTCATTTAACATTAACCAAAAGCCCTCCCCTGGCGATTATAGAACTAAAATCCCCCGAGTGCTTTTTTCCAGTCTTAAGGCTGGCAAAGAATTATGGGTGTTACAATTCATTAACTGGAAAAAATACATTGTGGCCACCACTGTCTTGGAATACTGCAATCATCCAGTCGGAGATGGAACTCAAGGGATTATATTAATGCTGTTCTCCTAAACCTCCCTCTTTAACCCAGTCCTGTCATTTGCAGCTGCTTTTCAAACTTGATTTTCCAGTCTTGTTGCTTGCCTGCACCCTCCTTCCAAACCCATGTGAATGAATGTGTCTATTCATCAGATTTTAATAAAAATGACTATATCCATATATGGAACTGTTCAAATGTCATAAGCATTCTTTTTCTGCGATGTAAAATAACCTGATGCATGTTTGCATTTCTAGGACAAAAAAAACCAATTTTGTCTGTTTCCTGGCCACGGCTGCTTGGAGTTGCCCCTGCCCGGTTGTGCAGCTTACCCCTGCCCAGCTCCCTGAGCCAGCGCTAGAAAGAGGCACGCAAGTGGAAAGAGAAGCGCAAAGTGCCCTGTGAGAGGTGGCACGCCTGCAGCAACCTATAACAAAAGAACAATTTCTTTTTCTTTTTTTTTCCTTTTCATTTCTGCCTCAGTGTTTTCGACAAAGTATTTATTTAAGTGCCTCAGAAAGTCTGCTGAGTTTTTAAAACTTTTTTTTTTATTTGTTACAGTTTTGTCTTTTTTGTTTTGTAAAAATGTATAATAAAAATTCATGTTCTGTAAAAGAAAAGGAGTTATTTGTTTTATAAAATGTAAAGGGCTGGGGGGAGGAGAGGGGAAGAGGTGAAACCTGACTGCCAAGTGTCTGGACCGAGCATTTTGTGGCCTGCGGGTGGTGGGACAAGGAAGAGGCGGCTGCCCTCCTGGTTTTCAAGAGGCCTCTCGCAACACAGTTCAAAGTGGCAGCAATACTTGAAAGACATTGTGGAAGCTTTGGGCAATGCAGCAGCCTGCTCTTCTATGTTATAGTGCTCACTAAAACCGCGACAAGCTAACTAGACACCAGTTGTCATACTACAAACTGGGAATCGAATGAGGCTGCAGTGTGAGAAACGTAGCGTTGTTTTCTCTTCCGTTTCTTTTACTTTTACTTTTTTCGGGGTGGACTCCTGAATTTATTTTTAGCTTATCTATAAGCAATGTTATTCATGATTATCATATCTTTTTTTTTTTTCATGTCCTTTCTCTTTTCTCCTGATTACTGATAGACATGATTGCCTAACCTGTAACTGTTGCTTTAAAAAAAATTATATATATAAATATTAGTGCAGTAATCTAGATGTGCCTTACACTGTACGTTGTTAGATCTACTGAGAATATTTTGACTTTGCAAACATGTCTGTCTTTCTATGCACGACAAAAATAATCATAAAGAAAAAAAAAAACAGGGGCTACTCCAAGAACCCTGACACGTTCAGCGATTTGAAGTGGTCATAGTGCCTGGAATATGTACGTCCAGCATGTCCAGAAAAAAAGCTCCACATACAGAGATTAACCCCTCTGCTGCTGTAGGTGTAACTCCATGGAAGTAATTAGCCAGCCGGCTAATATCAATTCTGTGCAAAATTGGCGTCTGAAACCACTGGTTTGAGGTTGGATTATCCCTTTAAATTACTTCTAAGAATTATAGCCATTGTCTTTCACAGAGGTATTTAGAATCAGATGCATTATGGCTCTGTCTTCCAGTTTAATATCAAAACCTTTATAAAGGATTTCAGATAAACCAACCGAATGTCATCCTATTGCCGAGGAACTAGGCTGCAACTGCAGACTTAACATTTATGCATTTCGCGCAACGTTATTTGGTTAAGAGTGCTGGTCTAGCCTGCCCCAACCCTTCCAGCCATTCAATCTTGTCCATTTTGGGTGAAATAGGTTTTGTTTTTGTTCTTTTTGACCGGGGAGGGGAGGGAGAAGGGAGGTTATAATGTGGGAGTGTAACTTGTGATGATTTGTATAGAAACATAGAATGTGACGGCAGATAAGAACCATTAGGCCCATCTAGTCTGCCCAATTTTCTAAATACTTTCATTACTCAGTCTTATCTTATAGTTAGAATAGCCTTATGCCTATCCCACGCATGCTTAAACTCCTTTACTGTGTTAGACCCCCAAATGGTTATGAACTTGCTACAATACTCCCCAAAAGGTTTAGAGTACTGTGAATTTTAACAAAATATGTAAGAAGGTATCTGGTTCAGTGCTGCAACTCCAGCACAGGTTCATAGGTGCTACGAAATATGGTGTGATACCCTTCTAAATGAGGTTTGTTTCGTTGAGGAAGAAGAGAAACTGATAACAAATATTTATAGGCTAATGGACAAAGAAAAATGTTTTGGAGCAAAATAAGCTTGTTCTCCAAATCTCCCCTGGTTATAAAACAAATCTGAATGACTGAGACACTAGTGATCCGATGTTTGTTCACCCATTACTATGATGGACCTTGCAATGTTTCTTCTTCATTTGGACCTTTGTCAAGACTGACATGTCTGTGCAGCCTATCCAGGCCCAGCTTAGTCCAAGTTGCGATGTTACTGCACCTCCAAAAAAGGGAGACACGTTATTCAAGGTCTTTCATTGTTCTCAGAAAGTTGCAAATTATAGGTGCTTGGTAGCTGTCTAGACCCTTGCGTTTAAAATAGTTTTATTTACAGTTTCCCTGTCACAGTTCCTAGACCTTCAGTAGCTAACCTTTGTCCCTTTTATTGACCTCTGACTTAGTTTTTAGTAGTGGGAACATAGACCAGCGTTGTGATGACATGATTTATTTTGAAAGTTATTTGAATACATTATTAAATTTTAAAGATTGTCCTTTGACACTTTTAATATAAATTACTAACTAATGCATATAATTGTAGGCTGAAGACTTAATTTAATAATTTTTTTTATCTAGTTCACCTTTTGTTCTCAGTGAATTTGCTTCTAAATCTATTGTCTCGCGCATATATATATATATATATTTTATTTTTTTTCCCCCACATGAATATAATAAAGAAAATGAGCACACACATGTAATAAAATATTAACTTTAGTTTTTCAACATTAAATCTATTTGAGTAAAAAACGAATACAATATTTATGTACAATTTGACTCATGGCCACCCACCTGTGGGTGTTTCTTTTATACAAATAGATTAAATAGAATTACAATATTAAACAAACAATAATTGTGTCTATTCAAAGCTGTAGCAAACAGATTCCATAGTACCATCATGACAACAATTTAAACCTATTTTCCCTTTTGTTCAGCAGACACGACTACAAATATTTCTCTGTCTCTACTTGTTAGCCATTGGAGAAAGATAAGAACTCTGACCGTGTAACTGCAGTTCGATGCAGTTCGAGTACGATGGCCATACCGGTGAACTTGTTTAGACAAATTCTTAGGGTTGTTTAACTAAATTGAGAATTCAATTTTTAAATGGACGAATGGGGAAAATGTCTTTGTCCGATATGTTTTCAGTATGGATACTTTTGGTTTTAAACTTTGAAGTTCACTTTGAATACTCAGGTGAATAACTCTGTCTATTACACTCGAAGTGAAGATACAAAAATACATTGAAAGACATTTGTTATAGGTCTGCTTCTATCTGTGTCTCTGCTGAGTTATGTGGATTTATGAACACTCTGGTTCTAACTGGCACTTGTCACAACCCTAGGGGAGTGTAGATGTTGCTCGGATCTCATCCATTTGGCATTTGAGTTATTGATGTAAGCGATATACAGCGAACAAACTGTTAAACACAACATTCCATGAGTTGAGATTGTCTTTTTCAATGCATATTAAATCGGTTATATATTTCACCAGTTTATCTCCCCCAATTACACCTTGATTTGATTTAAATGGAAATCTAGTCGGAATTGTTTCTGTGTATTTCTGTGAATAGTCTAAATCAGGATACTTGTTAAGCTAACCATTTATTCTGCTTAATTAGTCTTAGCAATTCCAGGTGTATATTTCTGCATGGTTAAGTATCAGCTTTGCAAAGATCGTACAATAACAAAGATTTCCTATGAAAGCTACAAAGACAAACTGTGATTTTACCGTATTTTTAGAAAACGAACTACTCTGTCCTGTATGTTGTCAGGTTGAACAGAAGAACTGTTTGTACTGTGGTGCATATGTTGACTTAATCACACAGGGTGTGTTAATACCTGACCTGATTTTCATCATAGAGCAACATAAAACATTGTTTACATGCATTTTTCAGTCCCAGAAATTAATTTCTAGAACACGTAATACTGAATTACTATTACCATGGTCATTGATGGTGAATGTAGACAGTGCATTAATAATGTGCACTAGAGGTTGATAGAAACCAGTATTTATCACATATTTTCCATTCGCCAATGTTGTTAATTATTATGTTCAGTTCCAGTTAAACGCCGGCTGGTTAGGACCCTTTTTGAGGCTAGGTGCATCGCTTCCACAATGTGCATGATTTCATGAAAGGATGTATGGGAAGTAACTGTTAAAACAGACTTGGATGTGTACATATTTCCACAGTCAGTTTTACATCAATACACCAAAAAGCAGTTGGCTTGAAGGTTTTTTTGAGGTATGCAGGTTGTCTTAATGCTCCCCGTTCCTCGGAATGTCCTCCACCAAAACAGGTCTACCTACACTCTGTTGGTATAATCACAGATTCAATGGCATTCAGGTCACAACTTTATTTTCCATGTGTTACTAAAATCATAGGGCTGGGTTGGTGGGTAGGTGTAAAGTCACTTACACACCTCAGATTTCCTGTCTTCAAGATGCATTGAACTGGCCACAGAAGTATACAAAACAAAACCACAACCATGAAGGTGATTAGCAAGAGTCTCTTCCAATCACTGCATCCACCGCAAAAACCACGCAGTCCAGTGCGCCTTGATTCCACTGGTGGGTTGTCCTTTTTGCTTAACCCAATGTCCACGCATACACACATATCTGCCTGACTTGAGTCTGAGTTTGAGTCTGTGTGTTGCTTGTAACAGAGCTTGCTGCCCTCAATCCATACTGGCTCTTCATGCTGGAGGTGAGGTGGTAGAGTGGACAGAAGTTCTTGACTGGTCCTCAGCGCTGGAGCCCCTTCTTGAGGGATTGGCGTTGGTTGGCGGCAAAAGGGACACAAGACTTTGTCTGATTTGGTTTCTGGTGGTAGAGCAGCGACCACCCTCGCCAAACACTCCAGACAGAATGTATGTGAACACTGCAAGATCTTGGGTGTTTTGAAGATATTGTCATAGGTGTTGAAGCAAATGGAACATTCAAGTTTGGAATCTGTCTCTACATCTGGTTCAACCTGTGTGTGCCATACTTCTGTAGGGGTTTCCATAATTAGACCTGTAAAGAAAATAGTGTAATGATTAAAATCCTCATATATGATACACATACAAAAAAATGTACTAAAGTGAAACTAAAATGAAAACTGTTTAAAGTGAAATTAAAAAGTCAGGGCCAACATGAATTAAACTGAATAGAAAATAGTTAAGAAAGAAAGTTAAGACATTTTTGGGACTAAGATATTAATTCCTCTTAATCTGAAGAGCTCTTTTTGACATATTCAAGGCTGGAGAAGGGAAGACTTTTGTGTTATTAACAAACAAAAGTAAGTGTACTAGAAGAAAATATCTATATTTTAATGTAGTTTTTAATATATTTTACTGTATGGTCATAGACTCGTATTATACTTAAGATCAACAATATGTATAGAAACAAACCGTTCAAAGTAAGGTAATTTATTTATAACACAAAATAGGCTGTATTTGTAGCTTTAACACTTGGACCTTATGAAATGTTATTTTTAAAGATCAGGGGAAAAAAATGTTGCAAAAATGTGTTGCTAAAATGTTACTAAAGTTCCAAAAACGTGTCTTCAAGAATTACCAGCATAAGTCTGTAAGGGTCACCTTTTCCCTCTGTGTAATTACACCAGAATGCCACTAGGTGGCCTTGTTACTTTGTGACATTCAACAAATAACACATGTCACATACAAGATATACAGTATGCTCATGTCAAGAGTAACAAACATCTAAAAGCACAACTATTAATAAAAGCCCTGTGACACAGGAAAAAATCCAAACATTATAAGAAAGAATGTTAACCCCTTTTTAATTCAGAGTTGCTTTTCTCGCCCCCTCCCCCCCTTACCTGTTAGCTTCTATTCAGAGGTTCCCCTACAGGTAAGCTCCTATGTGATGTCCACAGGACCTTGGTTTGGTTTGTCATTGAGAAGGCAGTTTATGACCGTTTTATGAGCTGTCAGAGGACTTCCCTGCTTATGGATTTTTGGAAAGTTTGCCACAGGACGTAATCTAAGCACCCCCCCCTCTATACACACAGACACACACCCAAAGCACTGCAATGTCATGATTACTAATACGTCACTGTCTGACTTGGCGTGGAGGTATTTTCCCTAAGGGTGATTTCCTTGTTTAAATGAGCATGTTTTAAAGAGATTAGTTTTTTCCTGAATCTGTTTACAAACAAGTAACCTCAGCTCATTGGCATGGCATGGCTAAACCCTATTTGATGACTCTTTGTCCCACAATGCTTTGTGTTTTTAAAATGTGTCAACTTCTAAGGCACTCCTGGCACTATAACCACTGGTAAACATTTCTTTCCATGGTTTTTATTTGAATCAAATTGTAACTGAGATGAGAATATTCAAGTGTTAAACGATGAAGTAAAATATTTACTAGCCATCAAGCTTGAACTCGCATCATAATTTGTTTAGCTTCTTGTTTCCAACAGATGGCAAGCCTGGAGCGAGGTTATGGATAAAGGAGGTTATAAAATACGTTTACTGGTGGAAAATGGGTAATGTGCATATTTTGCTTAAGCAAATCGAAAGTTTAATGGCCCTCAGGAACAAACTCGCACTCTCTCCATATTATTACTGGCATTTATAAAGCGCCAACATATTCTGCAGCGCTGTACAATTACATACATGTATATACTACATAGATATACATATGTTTATTTACTAAGCACAAACTTGTAGTTAATAAAAAAAACAAAAAAAATACTGATTGTGATCAATTCTCAAACTTGTTTGTAGATTACCTGTATTAGCCAAAATTTTGAAATTTGTTCTTAATTGTTTACAATTTAGTGTTTAGTGAAAACCTTGTGAAATTCCAGACAATCCACTTTTAGCAGGTAACCCTGAATGGGAGTAGGTCTTCAGATCATATTTTTCTAAACGTGGCTATTGAGAATTCAGTCAGTTTATTGAATAACCCCCCTGTGAATATCTCTCAACACGGCATTATAAGGCTCTGCTGGGTGATGTCATCTATCTAGGCGAAAACACTGATCTCATCTCCAGCTCACAGCCTACTATTATTTTCTCTTATCCCCTGTCAAACAGACATAGCCCTCAGAACAGACACAAAAGCTGTGCTTGTTTCAGAGCCCTCCTCGAGGTTGTGCAGCACCCCTGCTGACTGTGAAATGATGTCTACAATAATTATCTCTGTGCCACAAAAACTAAATTATGCTTTTATTTTTTCAGATTGAAATTAGAAATTTAAAGGGACACTTCACTGCCCAAATAATTTTTTTTTTAAAAAGTGGAAAACAAATGCATTATGCATTTTTTTAAATTGGCGGTAACTAAAAACCCTGAAAATTCGGCAGAACTCTTATCCAAGCTGGCTGGGGATGTTGAATGGGTCTTGAGCATGATACTTTCAATTTAAGCTCACACAGCTTTTTGATTTTACAGAACTCACATTATGACATTTAGAACATTTTCAAGAAAAGTGAGCATATCCTATACATTCCACCACACAAGCTAGAATGACCCGCTTTGTAAACCCAAGGCAGGGGTGCCCAAAAGGTAGATCCCCAGATGTTGTAGAACTACAACTCCCATGATGCTTTGTGTGTCTTGGCATGCCTTAAGAATGGCAACTCCCCATGGAAGCTGTAGTTTTAAACCATCTGGGGATCTACCTTTTGGGCAATCCTGATCTAAGGGATGGTTTAAGTTGAAAATAGAACTTGACCATTATCAGAGTTATTCATTAAAGAGTGACTTGTCAGAAATTCAAAATGAATTGCAAATTTAAGGCTAGAAGTCTTCAAATCCGCACTTTATTGAATAACCCTACGTATAGCACAAATATGATCAATGCGTTAAGAGACTTCATTTACATGATTAGGTCATTTTTACATCCCATTCTTTAGCCCAAATTACAGCGTAGTCAAAGAATCTCTTGCCAGTGATTACACTAGAGATCTCATTAAATCTGCTTTATTTCATTAGAATGATCTTCCGCAAAGCTTTGCTATCGCAGTGCTTGTGTTTTGACCTCAGTTTATAAACCGGAACCAAGGGATATCAGTGATCCAGTGATATATTAATTCAGATTATATTACATAATTGAAAGTCAGGAAATTGTTACAGCAAAAAAATAAGGGTACAGCTGCAGATTGTTGACTTTTCACTTAGCCACTTATGTCATGGCTGATGTTAGCAAATTAAATGTTATTTGACCTATTCCAAACAGATGATATCAGGGTTGTAATTAACCCCTTAAGGACACATGACATGTGTGACATGTCATGATTCCTTTTTATTCCAGAAGTTTGGTCCTTAAGGGGTTAAATGTATATATAAAGCCTGCATATTATCGCTGAACCAGTATGGGACAGCGATGTCTCACTATTCTCATACCAGCTCTTCCAGTGTTTGGCCGGCTAAGGATCATAGGAAACGTTACCTAGCCTGTCTGCAAGTCCACAATTTAGATACCAACATCACCCAGTCACAAAACCGATAAAGGTGCTGGATAGCCGGGCCCAGTTCATTAAATGGACAATCAACAACGTTACAGGCAAAAGACCAGTTTCTGTTTTTTACTGTAACTGTAACACTGGGTGACACATTGGTACTGGAGCCTTAATGTGGTTAAAATAATGTATCAGTTTAAAATTCATTCATTTAGAATTCCCAGTGATTCTTTAAATTAAAAAAATTACTAATTTGAATAAAGATTCAGATTAAGGCTTTGTAAAGAGTACCAAATTAGCGCTTCTTGTCTGAAAACACAATGCAAACTGGGGGTGTTATGTAGAACCTACTGTGTATCGTGGCAAGGAACTGCACGTACCCCAAGGGCAAGTTCTCACTACAATCAAAAGCATCATGGGCGTTTGAGTTCTAGACCTACAGGGGATCTATTGTTTGGACATCTCCCAGTTCTGAATGCCTTTATAGTGAGCAATGATATTGGCTGAGCCTCTCCTAGCATTTCTTTAGAGAACAAAATACAGTACGTTTGCGCTTTTCAGTGAAAAAGGGTTGTGTCCCTGTTCTGCCATTCAAAGTGTTCAGAACATTAATTGTGTTTAGACAGCATATGCTACCACTCCCAGTGCTAAACACATACACCTTACCCTAACCGCACTGTCTAACAATAGAATACTTATTCCATCCATGTAAATAGTTTCAATCAATCCCATTGAGCACATAGAACAGGGCTAGCTCTGTACGTACACTATACCATTAGCCACATATGATGTATCTTTATACATATTTCAATAAAACAAAAAAAGAGATGATAAAACTCATAACAATCCGTTGTGAGATCTATTTAAAATACATTTTATCTGCCCTGGAAATATTTTCCCCAAATTAATCGAATGGCCTAAATTCCAATGTGGTTTTCAAGTTTCCACAATTTGCTATCTAGCGACTAAACCACAAACGCTGGTTGCCAGATTAACCCTCAAGTATAAGACATTTCATAAGCTCCCCTGATTGAATAACCTATTGATGTGGTCATATTTAAAGGGAACACAGCTAGGGAGCTCTTTGCCTGATATGTCTGTCTAATGAACGATTTGTCTCTGAAAACATGCAAACCTCTAACAACTGCCTACTTGGTTTGGTACAAATAGTGACTAACAACAACAATTACCGCATAAAGAAACATCACTTTTTTTTTCTTTGCAAAAGTCACAAATCAACCTGCTCTACAGATTGTCAATTTCTGTCTCAGCATCATGTTGGTGCTATTACTATTGGATGCAAATTGAATCTTATGTGAGCTCCACAGCTACCACGGATGGATGAAGATATCCTGTGGATTCCTGTGCATTGATTGACACACGTCTAGAATAACAAACCAACTGCAAGGCAAATAGGGCACCAGATACCACTACACAAATCCGGAGCTAGAACCAGCATGGGCTAACAAACAATGCAAAATTCAGCAGGAATTATCTTTTATCAAGCTGAGACTCTATATCTTGGCGTCTCACCTAATGAAGTCTGCAGACATTGCCGCAGGATGTGAGTGACACATAGAGGCTTATTCACTAAACAGTAAATTCTGCTGATCTACAAAAACACTTTAAATTTTTTTTAGATCATTTGAAAATAGGGCAGGTGCACTAAACACTGCTCACAATTAGAGTGCGTCTGATTCTCTTAAATACTGTTCTGTAAATAATGTTTTTTTAACTGAATAAAAGCGGAATTTTCTTTGAACTCTTGATCTTAAGTCAGATTTCCCCGTATTGTGTTTGATGTGTTTAGGAGAATTAGATACGCCTGACTGCCAAATGCACTGTATGGAGTGTGTTCCTTTCACAAAAATCCATGGGGTAAAGCGTGGTCTGGTGGAGAGGTAACATGTTCTGTTAGGTGAATAGACCCCCACACACTAGTAACAGCATGGTTTGTTGGTAAAGAAACGGCTACATAAATTAAAGCCATAATTACCATTCTTCATTTCATTAGCTATTAGACATATTTGTATTTATAAATATGGTGTTGATTACACAAAAAGCCTTAAAAACAATCTGTTTAGAGCTCAGGGGGTCATATTTTGCAAGGCAAAACTGGAGCCATTCTGGTACAATGAAGCAATCGCTGTGAAAAATGTTGGTTTATTCCTGCTAAGGGTTCAAATTAGAGCTAACTGTCCCAGCTTTAACTGAATTCTAGATGGTTTTTATGCCATGGTAATATAACCACTCAAGTGTCACAGGGAACATATTAAATCCATAACCACATCACCTGCATTTGGTTAGAGCACAGAAAATAACTCTTATAGAATGTCTAGCTGTATTAACTCTTAGAATATTTTAATAGATCACATGAAAAAAAATGTATCTCTTAATTTCCAAAATTCTACAAAATTCCTCACGCACTTAGGCATTTGTTTTCTAAACTGGGGATAGTGGAGAAGTTACAAGGAATGCCACATTTTGAGCAAAAGTAATTTAATTTGGAAAAACATCCCTAACTCAACTTTATCCTAAATTAACAACTCACTTTTAAATTCTCCACGATTCCTGATTAAGCGAATAAACCTCTCAAAGTTAAAAGAGAATAAAAGTTGTGAAGAATTCATCTTAAAGACGCATAACGTAATTGTTAACTTACCGGTTTATTTCCCAAGTGTTAAACTCTTGTCCCAGGATGTCAGTGAAGCTATAGTTTAAATCTCCCGACCTGCAGTCTGTGATCTTAACACGCCTCCTTTCATTACAGCTTTACTGAACACCTTGCAGGTTCAACTGCATCTAAGTAGCTACTCGCTCACTGTCACATCCTTATATAAGTTGACTGTGACAGGTGAGTCAGCACAGGGTGTATCTTTCTCTACCTATCAGCGGGGAAGGGTTTTGAGTTTGTATTTCTCAGAACCAATACCTTAACAGGAAAAGGGAGCTGCTTCATGAATTGGTTAAACTTCTTAAATAGTTTTTAATTTTACTTTAGGCTGTTCCTCAACCCATGCATACTATTAAGGCCTGGATCCTTAGAATAGAACTTTCACATCTAATGAATATTCACAATGCTGAGAGGATTACACGTGCTGCTTTGTGCCCTTTTTCTACTTTACTGCAGTTATATCATAATCATCAACAGCAAGCAACATGTGCAATCAAAATACTCTAGTTTACTGGCGTTAAAGGACCACTATAGTGCCAGGAAAACATATTAGTTTTCCTGGCGCTATAGTGCCCTGAGGGTCCCACTCCCGCCGGGCTCTGGGGAGAGGAAGGGGTTAAACTTACCTCTTTCTCCAGCGCCGGGCGGGGAGCTCTCCTCCTCCTCTCCGCCTCCTCTCCTCCTCTTCGGCTGAATGCACATGCGCGGCAGGAGCTGCGCGCGCATTCAGCCAGTCTCATAGGAAAGCATTTACAATGCTTTCCTATGGACGCTTGTGTCTTCTCACTGTGATTTTCACAGTGAGAATCACGCAATCCCCTCTAGCAGCTGTCAATGAGACAGCCACTAGAGGCTTTAGAGGCTGGATTAACCCATTTATAAACATAGCAGTTTCTCTGAAACTGCTATGTTTATAAAAAAAAAAATGGTTAACCCTAGCTGGACCAGGCACCAAGACCACTTCATTAAGCTGAAGTGGTCTGGGTGCCTAGAGTGGTCCTTTAAGGCTTTGGCCAATGGCTATGCATCAGACCTGTTACAGTGATAGCTTCATAAGTATTAGTAACTAGTTAAAGCAGGGGTCAGCAAACTTTGAAACTCCAGATGTTGTGGACTACATCCCCCATAATGCTATTACAGCCATAACGCTGACAAAGCATCAGGGGAGACATAGTCCACAACATCTGGAGTGCCGAATGATGCCTACCCCTGACTTAAATTATTGTGTCCTTTTAAATGTTCGGTCATGATATAAATAGTTGTTTGCTAATAAAGTGTAGGAAAATACATAGATTAACATATCATTGCAAATATTTTACAAATTATCTAGCGTTTTGTGCTATTATCTATTAATCAAAAAGCGGGTTATTAGCAAATTTTGGAACTGTTGTTTTTTTTCACAAATTTAAACTATCTTCGCATGTTGGCTGGTCAATGTTAAAATACCTGGTAATGAATTCTTTTTAACATCTTGAGATTGATGCAAGTGATATTTACTTTTACTTTTTTCATTTGCTATTAATCACTATTCACAATTAGGTTCGTTATCTTGGTATTTCAGAGTTAAAGTGCTAATAGGGAAAATTAACTGGAAGTCAGTTTGACTTCTTACCTGGAGTCCACCGGTATGCTCCCTACCACCACTACAGCTGACAGAAGTACCTAAGCAGGAGTGGCTGGGTCTCTATTAGCTCTTGTGATCTAAGCATTCTAATGGAGAGCTACTCAGCCAATCAGCTAGCTTATTGGCTGAGAGGGTCCGCTAATTGCTCTAAAATGGTTTGACTACTTACAATGAGGAAGGGGTGTCACCAGGGCACTCATAACAGAATAATCACTTATGGATTTATCATCCATCTTTTATTTCACAATCAGCTAGAATTTATAGATTTCATATAGTCAACACATATTATTATTATTATTATGTTATTATTTATATAGCGCTATCAAATTCCGCAGTGTTTAACATATCTAAATTATATGCCAGAGATTTTAAAATTTCAAGGAGATAACTTGCTATTTAGTATAAGTAATGTCCTGACTTGATTAACTAATTGATATATATCTTCTGTCAGTTTCTGTTCTTTGGCATTCTGCTAGAAACATGCATCCATCATTTATAAGGACAAGAGACAGACATTTATTTTAAGGCGTGAGGTTACTCTAGCAAATCATAGGTGGTCTCACAACCCACCAATGACCTTTTAAATATCAACATTAGGCAAGTGATCTGTTCACCTTCAGGTAGGTATAGATGTAATCTACAATGAACAAAATTATAAACGCAAAACTTTTGCCCCAATTTTCATAAGCTGAACACAAAGATCTAAGACTTTTTCTATGTACACAAAAGGCCTATTTCTCTCAAATATTGTTCACAAACCTGTGTAAATCTGTGTTAGTGAGCACTTCTCCTTTGCTGACATAATCCATCCACCTCACAGGTGTGGCATATCAAGATGCTGATTAGACAGCATGATTATTGCAAAGGTGTGCCTTAGGCTGGCCACAATAAAAGGCCACTCTAAATTGTGCAGTTTTATCACACCACAGATGTTGCAAGTTTTTAGGGAGCATGCAATTGGCATGCTGACTGCAGGAATGTCCACCAGAGCTGTTGCCTGTGAATTCAGTGTTCATTTCTCTACCATAAGCTGTCTCCAAAGGCGTTTCAAAGAATTTGGCAGTACATCGAACCAGCCTCACAACCACAGACCACTTGTAACCACACTAACCCAGGACCTCCACATCCAGCATCTTCACCTCCAAGATCGTCTGAGACCAGCCACCCGGACAGCTGCTGCAACAATCGGTTTGCATAACCAAAGAATTTCTGCACAAACTGTCAGAAACCGTCTCAGGGAAGCTCATCTGGATGCTCATCGTCCTCATCGGGATCTCGACCTGTTCGTTGTCGTAACCGACTTGAGATGACAAATGCCCACATTCGATGGTGTCTGGCACTTTGGAGAGGTGTTTTCTTCAGGGAGGAATCCTGGTTTTCACTGTACAGGGCAGATGACAGACAGAGTGTATGTCGTCATGTGGGTTAGTGGTTTGCTGATGTCAACGTTGTGAATCAAGTGGCCCTTGGTGGTAGTGGGGTTAGGGCATGGGCAGGCATATGTTATGGACAACGAACACAGGTGCATTTTATTGATGGCACTTTGAATGCACAGAGATACCGTGACGAGATCCTGAGGCCCATTGACAATCACCTCATGTTGCAGCATGATAATGCACTGCCCCATGTTACAAGGATCTGTACACAATTCCTGTAAGCTGAAAACATCCCATTTCTTGCACTGCCAGCATACTCACCGGACATGTCACCCATTGAGCCTGTTTGGGATGCTCTGGATCGGCGTATATGACAGCGTGTTCCAGGTCCTGCCAATATCCAGCAACTTCGCACAGCCATTGAAGTGGAGTGGACTAACATTCCACAGGCCACAATCAACAACCTGATCAACTATGCAAAGGAGATGTGTTGCACTGCGTGAGGCAAATGGTGGTCACACCAGATAGTGACTGGTCTCCGGACTCCCCTGGTCCCCTTCAATAGAGTAAAACGGCACATATCACAGTGGCCTTTTTTTGTGGCCAGCCCAAGGGCACAAGGGCACACCTGTGCAATAATCATGCTGTCTAATCAGCATCTTGATATGCCACACCTGTGAGGTGGATGGATTATCTTGGCAAAGGAGAAGTGCTTACTAACACAGATTTAGACAGATTTGTGAACAATATTTGAGAGAAATAGGCCTTTTGTGTGCATAGAAAAAGTCTTAGATCTTTGTGTTCAGCTTATGAAAAATGGGGTCAAAAACAAAAGTGCTTATAATTTTGTTCAGTGTATATATTGTAAGTGGTGACATTTCCTAGAAATGTGTAAAAATAAAATATCCTTACATTCAATTCACCCAACATGGCAGTCTGGGATTGAGAGATGCACTCCTGAATTTATGGTATTCCGCTGTATCTCTATGAGGTTTAGAAGGCTCTTAAATCAAAATCATGTTAACTGTATGTCTCCACTTAACTAGTTATGATATATTTCATTGCTTCACATATACTTCACTACCTGCATCCATACTCATTATGACACCTCCATCACATGGGATCTGTGGGTGTAACACTCAAATAACACTGACACGGCTACTGGCCCTCTCCTAGGCTATTGTTGCTTGGGAACACTTCTCTAAACAGGGCACCTTCAACATAACACTGACACAGAGTCTTTACTGCCAGCACATTAAGGTCTGAAAAGAAACATATCTGTTTCTATTTTCCTCTGGAAATTGTGAGACACATTTGGCAGAGGAGTATCACAGCAGCTACAGCGCATGTCCTGTCTGTAGTTACTGTAATGGAGAGCAGGAGAGCCACCTTAAGGAGGGTTCTCTTGCTTCCCCTGTCAATCAGATTTCGGCATGGAGGGTTATGCCAATTCCAAGTTGGAAATGGATTGAAATATTTTTGTTTTCTAAAAATGTATATATTTGCTAACAATTTTTAAAGCACAATGCATAGATTATTTTTAATGTTTTACCCTGATGCATATCAAACATATGATTAGAAAATGTGATACCTTGGTAGGAAATAGAGATATGAGTCAAGTCATGAAGTGGGTCATTTGCTTTCTGTTCAGGTAACTGTCATTATATGATTCTGCCAGTCATTGTGACTGAGACTTGCGCTACAAAATGTCTGCCTGTAGCAGGAGACAGACATTTTGCTTATCTCACTATTATTGATGCAATTACCAGTATTAAACACGTAGTTTATGACATTGGGAAGTGTTTGGACTCTGTTATTGTACTGTATAAACCATGTCAATAATAATATTTGCTTCCTTCTAGTCTTCCCAGATTGTATCTAGTTTCAACATATATTACCCACTGACCTTATTACTCATTTCTTCAGAACAAAAAAATAAATAAACAAATAATAGTCTGTAGTATTTATTTTGTCCGATCTAGCCCTGGAGCACCCATTTTTAAAATTAGGAACATAACCCACAAGGTTAAAAAGAACTAATTGATGTTTTATCATAAATACATGCATTTCTCGACTTGTCTCAATGGATATGCTATGCATGAGTTCTCGCATCCGTTATTTTATTTA